CACACACACACACACACACACACACACACACACACACACACACAGGAAGCCTCCAACTCAACGATCCCAGGGTCAGACCAACACCCACACCAACAGAAATCCTGTTGTGACCCTCTTCCTGACAGGTAACAGAATATTTTGATTCTAACCTGTGCAGGTGTCTTCTCTGCTTGTCCTGAACTCCACCTCCTTCACTCACTACCCAAACCCAACCTTTGACCCTCTGGGGACCTCGGGGATCCTGGAGGTGAAACCAGGCTCACCCATCATCCTGAAGGTGAGAGGGGACAGGAAGTGATGCAGTCTGGTCATGTTGGCAGTTTCTCACCTGAACATGTTGGTTTTTGTGTTTCAGGGTAAAAATCTGATCCCGTCAGCTCCTGGAAACACCCGTCTGAACTACACCGTCCTGATTGGAGAGTCCCCCTGCCTGCTGACTGTGTCAGAGAACCAGCTGCTCTGTGATTCGCCGGATCTGACTGGAGAACAGCGAGTCATGGTGAGTTTGCCCCGCCCCTCTGTTTGTATTATAACTGGGATTGGTTCAGAACGACACTCAGACAGCCCTACGGCTGAAAACTTTTATTATCAGTCCATCATGAGTGTTTGAATAAAGATCCAGTCTTTATCTTTAGCACAGAAACTCCTGCAGGACCTGAGGGTCAGACTCAGACGTCTCAGTGTCTGCGAGGACGTTTAGTCTTAAAACAGAGATGTTTTTATAGCTGCAGTGTGTTTACCTGGGTCAGTGTGAAAGGCTGGACCACAGGGAGGCAGAGGTGATTATTCTGATGTTTCCATCACATCATGCAGCTGAAACTAAACAAGAGAAATATACAGATGATTTCTCCTCAGGTTTTTATCTTCAAATCACAAACATGTCCAACAAATAACTTTAGCGTAGCTTCAAATTTAATTACAATAAATGYAATAAAACAGGCAGGCATAAAAAGACTAGTCTTATATCCAGGTCCATATGAGACTCTGGATCCAGACTCTGGTCCATCTTTTAAGGAATGTTTTGAAGTGATGTTAGCTTAAAGCTAATTCATCAGCAGTTTGATACCAAAGAATTTGTGAATCAATTTTATTTTATTACAAAATGTTTTAGAACCTCTGTTGAAAAATGTGTTCTGATAAAATATTAT